CGCCCGCCCGCGCGCCGCCCCCGCCGCCGCCATCTTGGCCCCGCGCGCTGCCCGGCCCGGCCCGCCCGCACTGCGCCTGCGCAGAAGCCGCGGAGATGAGCGTGGCTACAGCACCGCCGTTGGGGAAAATGGAGTGGGCGGGGTTTAAGGGAGATGGGCGTGGCTTTTTCGTTGGGAGCGGGCGTGGTTTGTTGGAGGGGAAATGGGCGTGGTTTTGGCGATGTGGGCGTGGTTTAAGTGGTGGGCGTGGCTTTGGAAGCGGAGCGCGCTCCTCCGGTGCGGTCCCAGCGGGCGGTCCCGGATGGAGGGAGGGGATCTTGGGGTGTCGGAGCTGTGATCCTCGTGGATCTTTTCCGGCTTGGGATAATCCATCATCCCAGCATCCCGTGATTCCGTGTTGCCACGATGATTCTATCGTCCCACAATCCCTTGATGAAGCGCTGGAGATACGGTTATGGTACACGTAGGGGTGTGGGGATGAGCTTTGCACTGAGAGCACCCCTGGGTTGTGTTCCAGTACCCTGCAGGGCCAGTGATGGTGCCACAACATCAGGGATGTCCCAGGCAGGGTACCGCATACCACATCCCCACAGGTGTCCCTATGTCCCCACGTTCCCATGTCACTGCATCCCTGTGGCCCTATGTGTGTGTGATGCCCCTACATCCCTGTGTCCTCATGTCCCCATGTCCCTATATCCCTGAATCCTTCTGTCCTCGTATCCCTGCACCCTGGTGTCCCAATATCCCCATGTCCCCATGTTCCTGTGTCACTGTATCCCTGTGCCCCTATGTCTCTGTGATGTCCCTACATCCCTGTGTCCCCGCATTCCTGTGTCCCTGTGTCCCCATGTCACTGCATCCCTCTGTCTCTGTGATTTCCCTCCATTCCTGTGACCCACTGGGGTGCTGGGGATACCAAAGGTGCTGGGGACACTGAGGACATTGGGGTCATTAGGAGGATACTGGAAACAATTGGAGATGCTGGGGAACATAGTGAGAACACTGAGGATGCTGGGAGCACTGGTGGCACTGGGAATACTGGGGATGTCAGGGACATGGGGCGCTGAGGATGCTGGGGACACATTTTCCCCTTATACCTCAATTTTTCCCCTTAACTCTCCTGGTGGTGACTGACACTGCTCCAGTGTTTTTGTGCTCTCTCACCCGATGCATGGATTCCTCCAGCAGTGTCAGGCTGAGTGCTGCCCAATCCTGTGTCCATTGCTACCTGCCTGCCATAACATCATGCTGCCCCGTCTCCAATCCCTACCCAATCCCATCCCATCCCCACCTCTATCCCCACCTCCATCCCCACCTCCATCCCCATCCCCATCCCCATCTCCACCTCCACCTCCATCTCCACCTCCATCTCCATCCCCATCCCCATCTCCATCCCATCCATCTCACCCCAATCCCCATCCTACCCCATCCCATCCCCTCTCCCTCCCCATCGCATCCCATCCCCACCTTCTTCCTATCCTCATCCCAGTTATCATCCACATTCTATCTCATCCCCACCCCCTCCCCATCTCATTCCCATCAGCATCCTCATCCTCATCCCCAACCCCATCCCCATCCTATTCCATCCTCACCCCCTCCTCATCCCCATCTCCATCCCCATCCTATCTCATCCTCATCCCCCCACTCACCCCGAGTGGAAAAGGGGGAAAAGGATGAGTAGGGCTGCCTCCTCCCACCCTGCTCCCTTTGCAATTAAACAGACGTTAATTAGCCGAAAATGGCCAAAGACCTGATGTCCCATCCAGGCTCACGCAGTCACCTCCACCTCCCGGATGGGGGGCACACGGGGTGCCATGGGGAGCCCCTCACCAGGAGCCTGGCACAGGGACCCCCATCCCATCCCCACCATGACGTGGCTCGGATAGGCACGCTTTGGCACTGCTTGGCACAGCACGGCTGGGCGCAGCGCCCCGAGCTTGACACGACTTTACACGGCACGGCTCAGTTTGGCACGGCTCGGCACCGCACGGTTCTCTGGGGCTCAGATGAACACGGCACAGCTCAGCACAGCTCCCCAGGACGTGGCATCGCTATGCTCCACCCTGGGCAGGGGGCACAGGTTCGGGTGAGGAGCGGACCCGACCCCGTTGCCGGCCGAGCCGTGCCGAGCCGAGCCGAGCCAAATCCCGAGCAGCGGAGCCGCGCCGAGCCGAGCCAAATCCCGAGGAGCGGAGCCGAGCCGAGCCGAGCCAAATCCCGAGGAGCCGAGCCGAGCCGAGCCGAGCCGTGCCGCCCCGTTCCCCGTGGCTCCTCCCGCTGCTCCTCCCGCCCGGCGATATTTAACCTGGGCCGGGTGGGGAGCAGCAACGCGCAGAGAGAGCGGCTCCCAGCGGAGCCGACACCGGGACCGGGCAGCCCCGCAGTCAGGTACGGGTGGCACCGGGCACGGCACGAGGCGGGGTGGGCACCGGGGGAACAGCGCTGCTATCGGCTCAGACTTCGGCGCTGGGACCCCCGGAGCCGCTTCGTGGTACATTGCGCTGAGCCGAGCCGTGCCCATCTGCGCCCATCCGAGCCTTGCCCGGCCCTGAGCGGCTCTCCTCTCCCCGCAGCAGCCGCCCCGGCCACGCCATGAGAGCAGCGCTGGGTTGCATCACCCTCGCTCTGTGCGCTCTACAGCTGCCCCACGGCCGAGCCCTGCCCCACGGCCGCTCTCCCAAGCACAGGTGAGGCGATCCAGCATCGCCCTGCATCCCGCAGAGGGGGGGCAGCTCCGGGGGTCTGTGGAAGGGAGACGGGGGGGACTCCTATGGATCCTTTTGTGGTGGTCCCGAAGTGCTGTGGGAGCCCCGGAGTGGGGCAGGGAATGGGGGAGATAGGGGAATAGAAGATAGGGATGGGATGAGGAATGGGAATAGGGGTGGGGATATGGGGATAGGGTGGAATGGAGAATGGGGACAGGGATGGGATGGAGATCTAGGGAATGGGAGGTAGGGGGTGGGATGGAGAATTGGGACAGGGATGGGGATATGGGGAATGGGAAATAGGGGGGAATGGGAGATGGGGAGAAGGAGGTATTTGATAGAGAATGGGGGTAGAGATAGGGGATGGGACCGGGGAATGGGGATGGGGATTGGGTGGAATGGGGAACGGTGATAGGGATGAGGACATGGGGGATGGGGAATAGGAGATATCTGATGGGGAAGGGGGACAGGGATGGAGATACGGGGAACAGGAGGGGGGATGGAATAGGAGTCAGGGAATGGGGAAGAGGAATGGGGATGGAATGGGGATATAGGGAATCGGGAGATAGGGGATGGGAATGGGACCAGGGATGGGGTGGAATGGGGGATGGGGAATTAGGATAGGGATGAGAGTCAGACATGGGGAATGGGGATGGGGGATGGGACCAGGGAATAAGGCAGAGTGGGGATATGGGGTCTGAGAGAGAGGGAATGGGGTACAGGGGCTGGGAAAGGGGGATGGGGTGGAATGGGTGGTGGGTGACGTGGAATTGGGATAGGGGTGAAAATCAGATATGGAGAATGGGAATAGGGATGGGGATTTGGGAAATAGGGGGGAACAGGAGATGGGGAATAGGAAATATGTTGGGGGATGGGGACAGAGATGGGCTGGAATGGGGATAGGGATGGAAATATGGGGAATGGGACCAGGGAGTGGGGTTGGAGTTGAATGGGAGATAGAAGAGGGAACCAGGGAATGGGGTGGAATGGGGATAGGGCTGAGGATATGGGGAATGGGAGACAGGGGATGGGGAACAGGGCTGAGGAATGGGAATGGGATGGAACTGGAGATGGGGAATTGGGACAGGGATGAGAATCAGATATGGGGAACAGGGGGTGAGGAATGGGACCGGGGGATGAGATGGAGGAGTGGGGAGGGAGGGTGGAAGGATAGGAATATGGGAAATGGAGCTGGAGGATGGGGAACAGGGCTGGGATGGAATGGGGATGTGGGGGATGGGAGACAGGGGATGGGGAATGGGGACCTGAGCCTGAGTGGGAAGGGCTGAGGGGCGCTGAGGGCTGCACACACACACACACACACACACACACAGACAGGGGCACCATGGATGTGTATGGGGCACCTCCTGTCCGTGTGCGTTGTGTGAGGGTGTGGGGCGTGAGGATGGCGTGGGACACGCGTGTGTCAGGCGGTGTGCACATGCCTGGACACGCGTGTAGCTGTGTGTGGGGGGTTGATGGCGTGCGTGCGTGGCTGCACGCGCTGCGGCACGTGGGTGTGCGGTGTGGGTCAGGGGTTACGGTGCTTTCACGGGTGGGAGAAGGGGGAACACGACTGTATGTGTGGGGTCACCCCATGCCAATAGATGTGTCCGTGTCCATATCTGCCCATATCTGCTGGGGGGTGCTGTCTCTGATGTGGATGGGGGGCAGGTGACATGTTCTAGGGATGGCTCTCTGCCCAGTGCCCCCTGTGCACAAACCCCCCCAACCCTCTTCTCTCTGCAGATTCCCAGGGGCAGTGAACCAGTGCGGGATCAGGGCAGAGGATGGACAAGTGCTTGGGGGAGGGAAGGGCGAGAGCTGAGCCAGGGACGCAGTCACGGTCATGGGCAGAGAGCAGCTAGGGGTGTGTGTGTAGGGGGGGGGGTCTGGGGCACATGCATGGGGGGTGTGGGATACAATGCTCTGCACCCACCCCGTCCCACTGACCCCATCCCACTGACCCCATGCCATTCTCTTGCAGGGAACCCCCAGATCGGAGACCCCCCCCAGCCATTCTGCGCTTACCCCACCGGCACCCACCGTCGCCCCACGGGGAGCCTCCCCCAGGGCTACAATCCAACCTCAGACTCAAACAACTCATCATCCCTCGCCCCCAACCGGCCCTATGGCACGGCCCCAAGCCGTCCCCAAGGCACAGACACCGACACCCCCCGGGGCAGCGGGGCCGGCGTCACATCGGGGCTCGGCTGCACCGCGCTCAGCCGCTGCGGGTGGGCTGCGTGCTGGGCACGTGTCAGGTGCAGAACCTCAGCCACCGCCTGTGGCAGCTGATGGGCCGCCCAGGCCGCCAGGACTCATCCCCCATGAACCCCAACAGCCCCCACAGCTATGGGTAAAGGGTGTTTTTTTCCCCCCCCCCCTGCTTCCCCCCCTTCCCAGGACTGTGTGGGTCGGGTAGGAGCTGACACTAAAGCACTTCCAGCGGCTGCGGGCTCCTGTGCGCCTTTCTGTGGGATCCCTGCAGGGGATGGGGCAGCAGGGGGGTGGTGAAACCTCACAGGGATGTAGCCGTGGAGGGGATGGGATGGACGGAGCGCAACCAGGGGGGATATCGACCGAGCAGCAAGCATTTCCATGGAGGTACCATCATGACTGCCCCATGGCTGCAGCTCCATGTGCCCCGTTCCTGTGCCAACTCTGGGGTGCACAACTGCACGGACACCCCTAGGACTCTCCTGGGAGACCCGACCCCTCCTGTCCCCATTGGGTCCCCGCCCCAGCGAGGTGCCCTGGGCTCAAACACTGCGATTTTGGCACAGATGCGCGCGGCCGCGTTCCCCCAAGCCGTGCGCGCTGACCCGGGGGATCGCGATCCTGCGGTGCCGCCTGGCGGCCGCGCTGCTCTGTCTGTCCGTCCGTCCGTCCGTCCAGCCATTCTTGTGTCCGCGTGGCTTCCCGTCCATCTGTCCGTCCTCCTGCCTGGCTGGCTGTCCCTCCGCACATCCACTTCTCCATCCGTGTGTCCGTCCATCCGTCCATCCATCTGCCCGTCTGTCCTTCCTTCCTCCTGTCTGTTTGTCCTCCTGGCCCATCCCCCTCCCCAAGTCCATCTGTCCCCCCAGCCCCTCTCCCCCATCGGGGTGCAGTGTCTCACCCCCCCAGTTCTCCCCCTGTTGGCTGCACCGTTTCCCACTCCCAGGATGTGGAGGGGGTGCGAGATGCAGAGGATCCCCACATCCCCCTTCTCCCTCCCCCAGCTTCAACCAACACCCCCACCTCCCCTCCCACAGGCTGGTAAAAGCCACTGGGCCCTTGGGGGGAGGGAGAAAGCAGCAGCAGAACCAGGGACCCCCCCTAACCCCAATCTGCAGCCCTACACTCGGTGCTTGTCCCACTTGTCCCCGCCACCCCGTGCCCCTTTGCCCCGAGCAAGGAGCAGTGCGGTCAGACTTCAGCTCCCCCCACCACCTCCCAAAGCTTTAGGGGTCCTACCTACAAATGAAGTTCCTCAGCAACGGGTGGATTGGGGGGGGGCTCCTCACTTCCAGGCTGCATTTGTGGGGCAGGCCAGGTTGTGGGGAGCAGCTCAGGACTCCCCGATGCAGTGACCGCAGCACCTCAGGGTGCCTTGGCCATGGGTTCAAACATTAACTGGGGGCGGTTAACTGGTGACTGATTGCCCCTGAGCCTGGGGATAAAGGTGGGGGGTCCTGGCAGCTGTATGTGTGCCCCCATCCTGGACAGCAATGAAGGTCCTGCAGGCGGTGAGTAGCTCATGGAGGGCAGGACAGCAGCCACCCTCCCCCTAAGGAAGCCCACCCTATAACTTGGAGTGGTGAAGAGCAGCCATGGGGGAGGCAGGAGAGTCCCTCTGTGGAGGGGGTGGGGGGGTCTCAGGGCTTCAGTGCCATCACCTCAAAGTGGGGCCCAGGCCCGTGGATCTGACTCCCAACACATGGATCTGACCATGCAACACCGTGCAATGTTGCTCAATGTTGTTCAGTTGGAGGTGGGGGGTTTTTCTTTTGGGGTCACAACATTCCTGAACCCTCACTCTGCTCCGGGGAGGTGGAGGAATGGGGGCACTGGTTGGGTTAAGGGTTGGCCCTGCTCACCTGGAGCCTTCCACCAGGACCCCAACCCTAATGAGCCACAGGCCAGCAAGGACAAGGCTGAGCTGCGCAACTACACGGTGAGGGGTGGCTGTGGGGCTGGGGAGAGGCCAGAGGGCTGAGAGGGCTGTGGGGGGGGGGGAGGATCTGTGAGGTTAGAGGGAATCCATAGGGCTGGGGGAAGTCCACAGGGCTGAGGGGTCCATGGGGCTGGAGGGAATCCATAGGGGTTAGGGATCCATGGGCCTTGGGAGAATCCATAGGGCTGAGGGATCCATGGGGCTACAAGGGGGTCCATAGGGCTAGAATGTCTGCGGGGCTGGAGGGATCCATGGGGCTGAGAGGTCTGTGGGGCCAGTGGGAGTCCATAAGGCTGGAAGGAGGTTCACAGGGCTAAGGGGTCCATGGGGCTAGGGAGGGGTCTGTGGGGCTAGAGAGAATCCACAGGACTGAAGGGTTCATAAGGCTGGAGGGAGTCCATAGGGCTGGAGGGAATCTACAGGGCTGACGGGTTTGTGGGGCTGGAGGAAATCCATAGGGCTGAGGGGTTCATGAGGCTGGAGGGAGGTCTGTGGGGGTAGGGGGAGCCCATAGGACTGAGAGGTGTGGGGGGCTGGAGGGAATCCATAGGGCTGAGTTCACGTGGCTGGAGGAAGGCTGAGGGGTGGCCTATGGAGTTGGGTGGGGGCTCACAGGGCTGGAGAGGGTCCTGTGGATCTACGGGGGACTGAACCCCCCAGCCCTGACCCATTGCTGCAGGAGGGGAAGCTGCTGGACCGCGTCTACAACACGTACCTGCAGATGCACACCCACCAGACAGTCGACTTTGTGCGTAGGAAGGTTCGTGTCCCATGGGAGGTACTGGGGGGGGGGGGAGGGGGAGATGGTGGGGGTCCCCCTGGGCCGGTGCTCACCATCCCCACCTCCGCAGAGTGCTGAGTATGGGGGCTGCTCGCTGCGCAGGATGAGTGCCATGCAGGCCCTGGAGCTGCTGGACCAACTGGTGGATGAATCCGACCCGGATGTGGATTTCCCCAACTCCCTCCATGCCTATCAGACCGCAGAGGGCATCCGGCGTGCCCACCCTGACAAAGGTGGGGTGGTAAAGGGGGGGGGTCTGGCTGCCTGAGCCCCCTCCCCAGGCTGTGGATAGGGGGGCTGATGACCCCCTGCTTACCCCCAGATTGGTTCCACCTCGTGGGGCTGCTGCACGACCTGGGCAAAGTCCTGGTGCTGTTCGGGGAGCCCCAGGTGAGGTGGGGGTGAGGAGGGTCGGGGACTGCAGGACCCCCTCCTTGGGGACCCCTTGGGGGACACCGGGGATGTTTGTCACCCCCTGCAGTGGGCGGTGGTGGGGGATACCTTCCCAGTGGGCTGCAAGGTGCAGAAGTCGGTGGTCTTCCACGATTCCACCTTCCACAACAACCCTGACACCAGGGACCCCCGGTACAAGTGAGTGCAGCTCCTCTGTAGATGGGGAACCCGGAGGGGAAGGGTACCATGGTGTGACTCTGACGCCCCCCCTTCCCTTCCCCTCAACTCTGCCCCCCAGCACCGAGTGTGGGATGTACCAGCCCCACTGCGGCCTGGAGAATGTGCTCATGTCCTGGGGACACGATGGTGAGCGTGGGGGCACACAGAGACCCAGAACCCTTTGTAAAAGGATGGGGGGGGGGGCTACCCTCCATAGCCCCCTCCCCCCCACCGTGCACAGAGCACTGGGGTGGGGGAAGCAGCCCAGCTCCCCAAACATCCACTCTCTCCACAGAGTACATGTACAGAGTGATGAAGTTCAACAACTTTGCCCTGCCCAAGGAGGTAGGGGAGGGCTGGGGTTGTGCAGGGGGGCCAGTCACCCCAAAGGGCTGAATGC